ACAAAAAAGAGATCTGCACAAAGCAGTGGGACTGGCAAATTACATGCGAGACCACGACCCCAACTTTGCTCGCACAACATAATACTTTCGGAACTTAATGAAAGGAAAAATGAACCAGGAATACCCATGTTATGGACTCCGGAACTGATAAAGAAGTGGGAAGAACTCAAAGAAGCTATCGCCTGTTTAGCAACGCTAGCATACCCTGTCGATGCGGTACCGGTTCAAATTATGAACGATGCTAGTGACTATGGCATAGGAGGGTGTTTATTTCAAGTTATCGATGGAGTTAGAAGAGACATTCTCTACTTCTCAAAAGTCTTGAACCCAGCACAACAATGCTATGGCACAAACACCAAAGAGCTACTAGCACTGGTATACAGCCTGGAACATTTATCCGAATACATTAAAGGGGGGGACATAACACTGTGAACAGATCACGAAGCACTCACGCAAATGAACAGTCAACAGACGTTATCCCCAATGCTAGCCAAATAGATAGCGAAAACGTTCCACCACCATTTCTCCATCATACATGTCCCAGGCAAGGACAACCAGTTGGCAGATATGTTGTCGCGTCTCCATGAAAGTACTTTTAGTACTAAAAAGTCAGAAGTATTACAAAAAGCGAATGAGGCAACACATAATAGCCAAGAGTACACCACCTTGGAAACAAACATGCCCATAACCATATCGGCTATAGATTGGATGTTACATTCCAGATTCTATCAAGAAACGGAACGAAGGTTTAGAAAGCTCACACTAGATATGTTTGCATCGGCACATAATGCACACACAGATAAATACTACACCAAAGAACAGAATGCGCTACAACAAAAGCGGGCGCAGGAAGTGAATGCAAGAGCGAATCCACCATGGGAACTCATACCTGGTGTCATTGACAAAGTCATCGAAGAGGCAACCAGCATCACGATATATGTATCATATTACCCCAATGCCTCGTGGTTTCCAAAGTTCTTGTCTTTACAAACAATACGTTCCTCAAAGAGGGCAAGAAGGCTTGCGGCAAGACCCCATGGGGTGTCACATTAGTCGCAAAGATAGGAGCTAAGTCTCCATACTTCGATTCAACGCGGGAACAACCTGCTATACACGTTGCAGCGTCAGAACCAGTTTACTCTGGAGACGCACCACAGGCAACAGAATATGAGACACGTGTCAACGTCATCGAGCAATACCACAACTTGGGACATTACACTCCTGAGGAAACAGTACACAAACATATGGACATGATTGGACTGATATCCAACAATATGTACACAAGTTTATTGACGGATGTATACCATGTCTCAAAAATAAAATACACAAAAAGGGATTTCACCTTTTACAATCAATTACAGCCTCATATCCAAGCGACAGAGTCCAAGTGGGCATCATAGGGCCACTATTGGATTCCAATAGAGGACACACATACGTGTTCGTATATCTTGACGTAAATTCATCGTACGTCATTTTGCGTCCAATGATGGACAAATCAGCGGCTACCATAGCGCGTACACTGGTACCAGTTACGTGTGAACATGGATTTCCACAAATCATACAAACTGTCCAAGGCACTGAATATGTTAACAACTTACTCTCAAAAGTAGTTGAACAAGCGCCAATGCAACACCTAGTCTCTCGACCGTATCAACCTAAAGTCTTAGGCGCGAACGAACGATCACATAGAGACCTCATGCCACTGTTACGGAAATTCATTGAACAGAATCCAGGTAACTGGTGTTCATGTCTTCCATTCGTACAGATGGGCCACAATCTGCGTACATCCAGAAGACACAAGTCTCCGCGCTTTAATGTGTACTTTGGTCGCAGACAAAATCAACTCACGGACTACAATGATCCAGTGACCGCACCCAGTACAACAGTATCTTGAGAAGAACGACTGCAAAATCTAGAAGTAGCCATTAGGCTACAACTAGAGAGCAATGTTGCACAGTATCAAGAGATGATTCGAGCAGCATACGATCGAAAATACCAACAGAAGTATATAAACTTCCAGGAAGGGGACCTTGTCATGGTCCGCTATCAAGGTGAAATGAACAAGTTAACAGCACCAAATGGCGGACCATACAAAACAGTATGCAGGGAGGGCAACGGGTATTTTGTCTGTTACCTTGATGGGACTAAAGTCCCCGAATATTTTGACTCAATCAGTGATGAGCTACTTGGACTCGTAAAATGAGCCAGTGCTCCAGAAGCATTTACTTCCAACAATCACGTACAAGCAAACGAAGAGACTCAGTTCTCATCTATAGTCGACGACAGGCCATCCATCCGAGGTGATGGATCCCAGGAGTACCTACTGCAATGGACAGATGGTGAGCGTACCTGGACGCATGAATCAGACATCGCAGATGCTGATGTCATTACAACATACCGTCAACGCCGGAGACGTAAAAGAAGGCAGTCCAGGCCAAAGAAGCCAGCGACAACAAGCAATGATGAAAGATCAGCGAGCCACAGACAGCGCACGAGGCGGGGGACCTAGGCAAGTCTCACTGATACCACAGGACACTCCCACTTTTCTCACCTAGAAGCATGTTTCCCCCACACACCAGAGGGACAAGGTCCAGAGACTCGGTTGTAGAGCCACCGTTGATGACTCCGATGAGCGGGGTAGAGGACTCCTGCTATAGTATAAATTTAATTAATTGGTAATATGTAATAGATAATGGTGGCAGGTTTTTCATCTTAAGCCCCCTAAGGGACAAGTTTTTCCCTGTATACAAACACCAACCTCTAGATAATCGAGTACTGTAAGATGTCACTTTCTACTCCTACGCAGGCTAAGAAGCATAAAGTTGGGGGGTTGTAGTATCTAGGGACCAGATTATCAAAAAGCCAATCCAAATCCCAAAACCCAGAATCATCAAATACTGAGTTTTGGAATTAGGATTGGAATATTTCTGATATTGGAGTCATCAGAAATATTAGCGGTAGAACCGGTAGATATACCGGGACTCCCGCATGTGTGAGAAACACTCAATTAAATCCTGAGTCTAGTGAAAACACAAATAAAGACTCAGTTCGGTTCTCTCAGACTAGGGACTTTTCCTAGCTGAGATAACCATACTTGAGAAGAGGTCTAATGTATCCTATTGTCTTGTATCTTTCAGTTACTCTCCATACTCTACAGAGGGATAATAAAATCCGAACTAACGTATAACTCAAATAGCAAACAATTGATGGTGTACAATAAGTATCACGACAATAAACAAACGTATTAAGGGTTATACACATCACGAGAACACTTATAAGCACAAGCCGCCACACACGGCATTGAAAGAAAATATAGTGAAGAAGTGCAAGTCTAACAATAACACCAACACACACAAGAGTAAACACAAGGATTGCACACACGAACATTCCATAAAAGCATCTATATCTCACCATTTGCGACAACAAAAACAAGAGGAACTCAAGGGTGGCACACATGAACATTCCATTGGCATAGAAGCATCTATACACCACTATTGACGACAAAAAGACGTTCACACAAACCATTACGAACAAGTATGAACACGTAAAAGATAATAACCAAGTAGGTATGATTGGAAGCACGTGAAAGATAACAATCAAGTACAGATGCTTAGCAGCACAAGAACACAGGACAATCAGTCAATCCAGGTTGTATGCACATAAGTATAGCATACACACACATCGAACTAGAACACAAGTGAGTAAACCAGTCTGAGTTAAGACACATTGTAAAATATCACATGAGAAGTATAACATAATACACAAGTGAGGCCTAAGAGACCGAACATCTCAGGGGTCGTTAGCAGGACCGAACATCTCCAGTGACACTACAATCACGAGAGTTCGGTACAAGACCGAATATCTCACAGGTGACGTCAATAAGACCGAACATACACAGGTGACGTCAATGTGACCGAACATCCACAGATGACGTCAAAAAGACCGGACTTCTTCGGTGGCGTCACTAGGACCGAACATCTACTTAAAATCACGAGAAAATATTGTCACACATGACGAAATAAGTTCAAGGAAGTTTACACGTGACGAAATAAGTTCAGGTAAGTCCACACGTGACGAAATAAGCTGAACCAACAGACACCAAATAACCCCTCCCAATTACAGAAAGGAACGCAACAAGCTACTGCAACACTCAGGAAGGTAAACATATCACACGGAAGTGCAGCAAAGCGAGACCACAATAAAAGTAAGTGAGATGAATTCAATTATTTTTATTTTTATACAAATTACTAGCAAAGACAGGTGGGGTGAAGCGCACATTCGCACAGAATATAACAAGAGTCTTTACCAATTACTCGCAATACCCACACACCAGCACAGACATCTCAAGATGCCAACGGCAACCAGAGCAGACGTGTGTGGTGGTGAAGAAGGTGGTGTTGGCACGGATGGAGCAGGTGACAGCCCAGCAGGGGAGAAAGCCCAGACATTTGCCCAAGCCAGCCAACACCGGGGGTAGTACCCATACAAGCTTCAGGAATGCGTTTAGAAATAAACAAGAGCATCTGTCAAGGCAACCACGTCCTGGTTAGTAGGTTTGTATCCTAATTGGAACAGACAGCACCGGTGGCTATCGCAAGTCTACACAAGATGAGAATAGGCATTCACGACCAACAGCCAGAACGACGCATGCCAGTTGTAGATGCAGAGCTCAGAAGATACGACTTAGCTATCAACGAGTGTGGTGACGATGAAGAAGATTAACTTATTCAAATCGTCAGTACATTGGTATCAATGAACCTGCACTATCGAAACTACTAAAGAACTCAGAATTTCCGAAGTTACCAAGAGACAGTTACTTCAAAATAGAAAATTGTGAAGGCATCATAGAGTTCACTACGCAATACAGATACCTATTCTTAGCCAAATCTATGACACCATTATGTCAGTACACAGCAATAGTGAGATACCTATTAGGCTTCACTGATACAACGGAGAAGACCTAAGCAGTGCTCAATGAGCTACGCTACTCGGAAACACAGATGACCAAGCACTACAAAGATCCTGAACAACTCAATAGAATCATTATTGATAAACTCAGACAATCCGGTAGACTATTTGTTAGAGAGGTTTTCAACGACATGCAGAATGTGACACTGAACGTAGAGTTAGAGAAGCGTTACCGTAACTCGGACAAAGAACCTATACACACGCAAATTCTCAAGATCATAAGATACCAAGCACTTACGTACTATGGACAATATGAGAAAGTAGACGCCATCATCAAAGCAGACAAACAGCCTGATGGAAATGAAGGTCACTTATCCGATATGAAACACACTGTGTTTCACTCTCGTACGGAAGCAACCGTAAGAGCAGTAGCTAAAGTACAGCCAGTCTCAGCACAAACCAGACAATGGCGCACCGAACCAAACCAACCAAACCAATAGGGAAAACACCCACTTGCGACAAGAAACACTATAGACAAAAGGGCCACCCAACGGCATATTGTGTGCCGGATGAGATATTGCCCACCTGAACCACCGGTTCGCATCAGCCTGCGACAGACCATTGTGTCCCTGGCCCACTGGCCCGGACCGCATGTACAGCGACCTCCTGCGGCTCTTGGTTATTTCGAACTCCTGTGAGCAATCGTGTGATATCCAAACGCTCAACCTGATCCATGCCTTGCAATGAAGCACCCAAAAGTCCCTCATCAGCAGCCGACACCGCTAGCTTTCTCAATGTCCTGGTTTAACCTATAGATGAAAGTTTTTATACAAATTTGAGCAGCTTCGCTCAACACTGTATATTTCTTGCGAATATTCTAAGTATTATCCTTCTTGAGTGACACTTCGAGCGTAATCAAATCGAACATACACGCCTTACGAAACAAATAACATGACGGGCCATACGTGTGCATAACAAATCGTTTAATATCCGTAACCGCAGATGTTGTAGGCAAACTAGTATGTACATCTAATTGAAGCTCAGGCGTAAGATAGGACAACAACAAACCTGGGCATGATATCCAGACACCAACGATATCACCTAATCCTTGTGCGGTGCCCTCTTCCGGTACGCAGGGCTGTTCTTAATCTTGTTCCACATTTCATGCCATAGGAATGCTAGGTCGAACTGCTGTCCCTTGTATTGCCAAGGAGGCCCATAAGGATCTACCTTCTTATCCGCCTGAACTACTTACAATCAACAATCGAGATCTAAATAAGTACAACCAGCACTAGCAATCGAAAACTGAAACTAAAATATTTTATGGTAAATACTATGGTAAGTACTGGGTACGTAGTTAACCGATATCTAGGTCTACGTCCTCTCGCTTGATTGTAGTAGTGGCTAGCTTTCATAACTTGGGTAATAAGGCGACTGTCTCGAGATACGCAGTTCCCAGAGACCTAGTTATCGAAAGACAACCTCACATCCTATGTCTCTCACTAATATATCCTCCTCATCCACTACTCCACTATAACTATCCAACCCACACAGCCCGTGCGAGTGGTTGTGTCTAAACCTTCCCTGTCTGGTCCTGTTCCTTCGGGACAGGGCCAAACGTCCATCATCCATCTACACACCGGATGGACATTCCTAGTTTTCTATTGTCCATCCTCACACCGGATGGACATTCGACTAAAAGATCATTGTTCATCCTCACACCGGATGGACATCCGACTAAGGTCCTACCACACAACACATTCTTTTTAAATTTTTATAGTACATACTTATGTGTTGTTTTTGTTGTTGCTTGGCCATGGGTCATGGGACAATAGTCCGATCATTGATCAGGCATATTATTTTATATCTTCTCTGAGAGGGTCATGTTTTTTTGTTGCGCGTTTGCCAGTTTGGCCCTAAAATCTATATCTTTCCAACGGTCTTCTCTAGGACTCTACTCTCTACTCTCTAGTAGAGTGAGTGTTATAGAGAGCTAGAGTCTAGTAGAGAGAGCAGTCAGAGTATCACAATACTGTCACAGACTCACAGTGTCGGAGCGCAAGAGTCAACTCATGTAGTGAATCCTCAATCCTGCCACACAAAGTCACAAACACGGTAGAGTAGACTCAGTAGACTGAGTAGATGTTAACCTAAGTCACGACGTTTAGCCTCATATATATAAAAGTTGACTTTATAACGTTTAACGGATTATTCCTCAGCGTTGCAACGTATTTTGGTATAATTGACCTGTATATTGTGACTTGAATAGTGCACCTATTCTATAGATTTTGGTCCCAAAATTTAATGTCAGGACAAAAATCCTATAATTTGGCCCCGCTAATATAAACGGGACAATGAATTGAAAGTATACGTGTGATTTTCAACGTTTAACGAATTATTCACTTGAGTTGCAACTTATAACGATATGAGGTTCACCGTTTAAATCAAATAAGAGAAATAGACTTCAGGAGTCCAGGGATAGAGGTATTAAGATTAATAGATACACGGCAACATGGAAAGCTATGCGCGGAATAGTGAATACGCGGGATGCATATCGCGTACGAAATACATAGTGATCTAGAGTGGATAGATGCTAATAGAACGTCAAGTATTTAATTGGTCCTCAACGTTTCTGCCTACTAAGGCATTCTACAAAATGAGCACAAGGTACGTATGTAACCAAGCACTCTGCTCAAGCGATACAATAGTGATCTCAGCCGATCAAGAATTCTGTTGTTTACTTTCTTTAAAAAAATATCTAAGTGCTCTGGAAATTTATTTACAGGTATAGCCGTTTTCCGCAGAGCGACGAAACAGGCCCTAAATTAGGTTTCGTAATAGCAATGATTGCCGTTTATCATCACACAGAAGTGGGGGCCTTTCTTTTCTTGTTCGACGACTGACGTGAAATGAGACAGAGACATTGAATGATATATGGTGAGCTCATAAATCGAGGTCCGACAAATTAAGTAAAATTCAAAAATCGCACATGAATTGAAGATACAAGCTGGATGAGAGTATGCAAAGCGTATACAAGGCAATTCAACAAAGAGATTTCGTGATCGTGACATTGCAATACAGTGGACAGTATGCTATCTCAGCGGGCTTGCGAATTTGTGCTAACAGTTTATACCTCCTGCGGTAAACACACGCGCAGAGAACAGAGAACAGGGATCCTTGAAATAAAACAGAAATTTTGTCGTCCACAATGCATCCAGAAACCTGACGTGTAACTCACGATTGGCTAAAAACAACTCTTTACGCAAACCTGGACATAGTATACTATTTCACTGCAAAACATCTTCATGGACACCCTCTCTCAATTGATCCTAAATCACGCAACACACCTTTTTGCTATGTTTTGACGGTGCAGGTGTCACCTGTGCACTCGTCGTGGTAGTAATTTCACTATTCGGCGTGAACGAAGGTGCGACTTTCTTCTTTTTGCTCGACTTTCTCGAATTCTTACTTGAAGCCTTCTTAGGACTCTTCGGGCTTGTAATTTTTGCATTTTCCTCACCGGCAGTCACCCCGCTCTCCACTATCCCATTAGTCTGAACAAGTGCGTCTGTATTGCGTGATTTTTCACTGGACTTAGCACTCTTTTTCGACTTCTTGGAGCTCTTTTTCTTGGACGAACCCGAAGTAATATTTGCATCTCCATTTGCTGCCTTAGTTTCTTGTGCTGGGACTGATGTAGGATTAATCAAATTCGTAGCAAATACAGCTTCCAAATATGAGTACTCATCCGCCATATCCCCGTTGGAGATATCAGCGCTCCCACTCTCCATAGTGGCCATGTTGGTATTTTTGCTTGCTGTCATATCGATGTCAATGTCCATCATATCCGCATCTTCGCTGACGAGTTTCTCGTCTGCTTCTTTACTCGACGTCCTGATGATGATCGTACGAACCGAAATACAAATGTCAGTTCGACACCACATGCATCAAATACACTGGCAGCAAGATAAATACAGTTCATTACAGATCAACTCTGTTCGCAGATAGCATGTTTGCATTTACTGATAGCATGTATACGACAATAGAAAAATTGTAGATTTGTAAAAGAAAAGAATCCCATGTAACGCGCTGTTCAGTTCCGTTGTATCCACACTGCTATCGATACGACATATAAACCATCGTTCCAGGCACATCTCAATAGGTATGTCGAGCATGATGTGGCCCTTTCTGCAAGTACACTTCACATCCAAATAAAATTTTCTCGCGCCCAAAACATTGAAAACGCGCGCAGGCACAGAGTACTAACGATTAGAGAAGTGGATAGTGCAGAATGCATGAAACGTCTAACCCGGCATTCAAGTCACATGAGCAAGACGCCGCTACTATAATATTACACATTGCTCGCACACCTCTTAAGAAATAAAAAAATACTATCACACTAACCTCGAATTATCAAGCAGCAGCGTCATGAACGACTCATACAACGCGGTACATGGTGGCACCAGATGGCTGGGAGCCGTGAAGACCACCTCGGATGGCTTCAAGCCTGTATCCGTACTTCCATTGCTCTCTCGTACTCCCGATGCAGCTACGTACGCATTCGCACTCACACCCGGCTTCGCCGCCGCAAACACATCCGAATTGTCTATATGTGCTTCCTTGGCTATCTGTGACTTGCTCTTGCTATGTTTCACAGTATCACCCCCCACCATGCGTATGATGCCGCACGTGGTTGCTACAGCAAGAGCGGGAGGCGTAGTATGTGCCAACCCCAGGCTAGCATTTGCACTCTTAACAAACTTAGCTGTCTCGGATGAGTTTCTAGAGGCGCTGGTCGAGGTGTTCGCACGGTTACCGGTAAGATAGGCCAGTCCCTCGACACTCTCTCGCTTGGGAACGGGAGAGATACGTAACGGCACAGGTGATTCCGCGGAGAATTCAACAACCACCTCCGGATACCGGCCCTCAAAGCCTGGCAAGCGCGCGACAATGGCAAAATACCCCTCGGTGTGACCAGAGCTATTGGTGGAGAACCTATGAGCAAAAAGCAATTATGTGCTGTGTGAGAGGTGCCGGACCAAGGTATGCGCTGTTCCTGTAGAGTCATCGAGAGATAATGAGATGAACAATTGTACTGTTTTTATTCTACAAGCAAAGGTTTGACTGGGCACGATATGTGAGGATGGCACACGATATGTGAGGATACCAACATAACCTTGTGTGACCAGTGCTATCGCTAACAATCCATGAGTGAGGATAAGATTCAGGATTTTGCAGTGACTTGAGTTGTAGGATCAAATCGACTACAAATATGAATGAAGGCGTGCTGTTTTCTACAACAGGATGCATCAATCTGTCACAGGAGAAATGAAGATGTATTCCACTACATGAAATTTGAATTATATCGTACAATGACTAAGCATTGGTTACCAAGCACGCAGAGTGTGTTCTGAACTTCAGTCGTAAAGCTCAACATGACCACGCCAGTTGTCTTGACATACCTGGGCACTGTGGTGAGCAGGGTGACCTTCACCTTGTACGACCAGTACACGGTACAAGTGAGCAAGTTCCACACGAACAGGTAGTCGGGTGTGGCAGCTATCAGCAACGGCAAGCTTTTGGACGGTATAGTGGCAAACGACACACTCGTGATAGGCTGAGAAGGTCCGGCTGTGTGCATAAGTGACCGCATCAGGGTGTTCGTCTCGGGAGCCCATAGTGTGATCACATGGTCAAATCCAACCGCTAACAGAGAGCCATCATTGGAGAAGGCGCAGCAGTATGGTGTCATACCTCGGTACGAGGCTGTGCTACTCTTAGACCACTGTATCTGCTCTTCTGTGCCATTCGCACCAGCCGCCTTGCTGCCTGCCTTTGCGGCCTGCGCGTCTGTCTTGGGCGTGGTAGCCAGCACACGCACACGGTTCATAACCCACAGCTTGATTGTACCGTCCAAGGAGGTTGTGCACGCCACATTGTGTGCTGGGTCGACACCCACACTCAACACTTCATCTGAGTGCGCGGTGTCTGTGAAGGTGTTGAGCGTGAACGAATGTGCGGAATCGTCCCAGTCCCAAAACTTGAGTCGTGGTTCGTTGATCTTACCCTCAACTGTGATCTGTGATAAAAAGAACATAAAAAGTTGCCAGGGCGGTCAATAGATATACTATGAAAATCTGCCCCGGAGCCAAATGCCTCGGGTAGTAGGAGACGTAATCTTATACAAGAATTACCAATCCATGTGAAGTACACTATGTCAATCACAACAGTAGAGACCTATAAACCAAGCTTTACAAACAGATTGAATTTATCTCAGCACTACAAATCTCAAAACATACCAAGCCCTCTCCCTTGAAAGTATAGGCAACATGCCGAACATCCGTAAGCGGTTGGTCAATCTGCGCCGACTGCGTTCCAGACACGTACATGTGCTGTACCACGCCCATAGTACTCACAGGCTTGTCGGACAAGACATCGTAGAACTGCACACTCCCAGGCAAGCGATTGAACGCCACAGTGCTATTATCCTTGGGGTTTACTGACAGAGAGAGTGGTATGCACGCACGCACTTTACTGGAGATACCCGTCGTGCTCGATGAGGAGATGGTGTCCTTGTTGTTCTTGTTTGTCAGGCCGTAGTTGTGGTGTCTGTGTGGATCGAATCGATGTGTTCTTGAATGGGTAGTAGTTGATAACTACATGACAACTGATTTTCTTCGACAAGGGTACATATGCCACCACAAAGTCCACCTGCATTCTGAATTGTATATCTACGCTAGAAATCCAGTCCAAAGAAAGAATACCACTATACCTGTGAACCACTGCGGGCGGTCGCAGCACCAGTCCTCGTACTTCTTTCAGTATTTTGAGCGAAGATACAGATACAATGTGGATTGTATTCGTGACATAGCCCACTAGGTACATCTCTTCATTAGCACTGATACTCACCGAGCGGATGGGGGCCCCCAGACGAGGCAAAAACTGTAGAATTCACGAGCAAACAATTAAAACAACAACAACACGACTAATGAGACGCATAATGTGGTATGCGATCAGATTTATAACCACTCGAGCGCAAAGTAAAGCTAAAAAATCGATCTGCATACATGGGACATACCTGCTTACTGGAATCTGACAACGACCAGATGACCAGCACCGCCTCCACCCCACCAGACAGAAGGTACGCGCCATCACTCGTGAACGCTATGGAACTAACCGCGTGCGCGTGCCAGTGCAGTGTGCTCGTGATACATTCTGATGTATGCACTTTCTTCTGCTCTTTGGCGAGAACTTCTCTAAACGAGTACCACAGGGTCACCCGGCCCTGTTCATCGCCTGTGGCCATGATATCGCCATCTGGGTGGAACCGCACAGTCGAGAACCGGGCTCTGCCCTCGAACTTGGTACGGTGCTTCTTGGGTAGATCAATCACAATTAGCGACGTTTTAGAGACCAACGCCAGGTACTTACCGTCGTGTGAGAATGTCCAGTCTCGGATGGAGCTCGTGTAAATTACGAGCCTTGTGTGTACTTTCTCCTTACGAACACCACCGACAGTGATTTTCTTGTTGAATTTGTTCTTGGTACTGGTGTCGAACTTCGCATCCAGATACACTTCGAATATTCTTAGCCCGGGCTTCGTTACTTTCTTTCCCTTCTTCCCAGCGTTGATTTTCCCTCCATCCACTACCGGTTTGCTCTCACTTGTTTCCTCTTGCTCTGTTGCCTCCGTGATTTCTTCTTCCTTCTTCTCATCTTTGCTTGTCTCTCCCCCCTCTACCGGTTTGCTCTCACTTGTTTCCTCTTGCTCCGGTGTCTCCATTATTTCCTTTTCCTTCTCCCCATCCTTGCTTGCCCCTCCATCTTCTACCAGTTTGCTCTCACTTGTTTCCTCTTGCTCTGTTGTATCGATATCCATGGCATCGTCGCCGTCAGCTTTCCCGACAATCACAGGGGCTTTCTTTGACTGTCGATAGGTCTTCATCTCGAACTTGCTCGGCCGTGCTATCACGTACAGTGCACGCTTCTCACTCATCGCCTGAGCAGTCATAAGCATCTTGATCAATGGCAAACCCACACAATACACCTTGAGACAGACTGCGTCAAGATAGTCCCACACACGTACATCTCCGTCTAATGAGCATGTGTATGCTTGCAGAGGATTCTCGGGTGATATAGAAATGGCTGTGACAGTGTCGTTGTGACCCGTGAGTGTGTGCACACGCAGACCAGTGATGACACTATACACGTGTACTTTGTTGTCAGCGCCACACAGAAAGTACCTGCCATAAAGGATGGAATGTGGCTCATTCGGTTAGTTCGGAACATTGTCGAGCAGCGGGCATTGCACATAGTGCAGTTTTGCATTGATTGGCATACTGAATAAGCTCGTCGGTGTGTATTCTTGTGTCAATTTGATATGCGGATGTAGGCACAACTACAATAGCATGTTGAATGCGCAAGTAAACCGGCAGCGCTACCGTATATGACACGCCTTGAACTTAAAATTGCATGCTTCATCTATGATATAATCATCCTTATATATATATACATATACGCGTGTGAGTGTGTGTATGATACATACATATATATATATATTTATATGTGGGTATGCGTATACGTATACATATGTGTGTGTGCGTATATATATACCTACATTTTATTATAGGTATACATATGTTTGTATATGTATATATATATATATATACATATATGTACATTGCACATATATATATATATATGTGCGTGTCGGTGTGTGTATACATCTCTATAAATTTATGAATTTATGGATGTATACACATAATATATATATATATATATATATGTCTGTGTATGTGCGTGTCTGTTTTTTGTGTGCTTGTGTGCGTGTGTGTGGATTATATATATATATATATAAACATGTGTGTCAGTGTATGTGTTTCGCATGTTCGTGGGTCTTTGTGTGTATGTGTGTGTGTGACACATGTATGTATATATCCGTTCAAATAATATATGTACATATATATATATATATATATATAAACATGTGTGTCAGTGTATGTGTTTCGTATGTGCGCGGGTCTCTTTTTGTGTGTATGTGTGTGACACACACACGCATATATATATACGTACATATACATATATACATAAATATATATATATGCACACACACATATATATATTATATATGTATATACATACATACATACATACATACATATATATATATATAAATAATACATATCCATATATATATGAATTATATATACATATATATATGTAAATAACTAATTGATATATATATTTCATATACATATATATATATAACTAATTGATATATATATATTTCATATATAAATATATATATAATTAATCGATATATATTTCATATATATAATTAATTTATATATATTTCATATATATATTTATATATATATTTGAATTATACATATATATGTGCGTGTGTCTGTGCGTGTTGAGTGGGGGGAGGAATGTATATGCATATATATATACATACATATATATATATACATATATTTATATATACATATATATATATATATACATATATACATATATATATATACGTGTGTACGTGTACGTGTACGTGTGTGTGTGTTTGTCTGCATATATATATATATATATAATATATATATGCGTGTGTTTTGTATGTGTGTGTGTTTTGTATGTGTGTGTGCTTATGCGTGTGTTTGTTCTTGTGCGTATGTGTGTGTCTGAAACATTGATTTGTCTTCGTACAAAAAAAGTGCAACAGTTTACAAGTAACTAACTCCATCAGTTGTGTACGTGCATTGGCACACAGACGATAATGCACCCGATGTGCTTACTTGGAGTCCGGTGTCATGACAGGCGCACTCGCTGTCAGATTGCCTCCAGCGGTAACAGCGTGTGCATCCGACAGATTGTTCGGTTCGTTGGCATACTTAGTCCCAGCCATATCAGGTGATACAACTGTTTCCTCGACTTGTTTTTTGGCATTGGCCACAGTTCCGCTTTTTGTTTCGCCAGGCATGATGCAAGCTAAGGGCGCACGTGCGGTGCGATATATATGCTACTGTATGCTTTAATTGCTACCTATGTGACAGAAGATACTTTATGCCCAACCGTCAACTATAAGCTCAACTCCGCTTTATGCGTGATATTCAAATTTTGTTGGAAAAGCTGTATAAGATGTATCACTACATATACGCTTCTGAATACCTGCTGAGATGATAAGCTGAGATTTGGCTCCAGGTAGAACTTGGTGAGCGCGGGAGATGAGGAGGGTCACGGGGACTACCATGTGGTTAAATTATCACATCCATCAGTCGAGAGGCTTTTGATTTCCGATTTGACATGTCGCAAATACAATTGCGATCCATGTTTTGATGTATTAAACTTCCGTTCTCTGATATTTAAATACAAATTCGATTTTATTACAAATTTAGTCTAAGTATTTCCGACCGTTTTTTATATAGCTCGAGTCGGACCGTCATCGAAATTTACATTATTCTCTCGAAGCTGTATTCTAATTTCTGTATCATAGTATTTACATCTGGGGGTAAAATGCATCATAAATACATAAGCACTGAATTACACCGCACGCTCAGAAGTCAATAATACACAACGCAGGTATGGTCAAAAGCAGTGGTCGCCGAAACGGCAGTAGTACCAGTGCTACACGTCGTGATCATGATAGTAACAAGCACAAAGGTGGTGTGCGGGAATATGAGGATGCTGAAAGGCGTGAAAACGGGGCGTTTGAGGTTGAATACGATGCTGCCTCGGAGTTTCCCTGTGGGTTGGCTATGTGGGATTTCAATCAGTGCGACCCAAAGAGGTGTAGTGGGAGACGATTGGCGAAGATGGGAGTTGTCCACGAGTTGAAACTTACGCAGAGATTCCATGGACTTGTTATGAGTCCGGTGGGTGTGGCAACCGTATCGCCTGCGGACAGGTATTCTAAGTAGAAACAGATGAATTGCCTGTATGATATTTTTGTTTAATAATCCAACATTGCATGGCTTTGTCATGCATTTCGTGTTTGACAGCCACATATCTTATCTCCGAGCACAACTTGGCTTGTGCGCATCTGTAAGCGGTTGTTTGTCTCACATTCTCTCGAGCCATATGTTCAAGGATAGTAGTAACAACTGTAAATCGGCACAAGTTCAGCTTTTATATCGATCCCTTGGTCTTCGTCGATGTATTACATAGTATATGAACATATACATCTTTGAATCTATGCGGTTAAGTTCGTACATATTAATGAATATAGGTATGTGCGTGTATGTGTAGGT